TTTTTTTTTTTTTTTTTTTTTTTTGAAGGAATGCAAGAAGTGGGTAGGAGAAAGTAAACATCTCAGTCCTGGGAAAGGGGAAGGTATGAGAAAAAAACTCAAATTAATCCCATCTTGATTTTGTTTGGTATAAGATGGGGTAGAGAGCAACTCAAACGAGCTTTCCAGTTTCTGTTATTGTACCCTATTACAATAAAGGAGCATTCCTGAATCCCCACTAGGTCTGTTTCTTGATCCAGCCTACCTGGCAGTTTCAACAAGGGCTAATACAAGTAGTCCTCACTTAATGACCACAATTGGGACCCGAATTTAGGTCACTAAGTGATGTCATTAAACAAATCATCACATGACCAGACCTGATTTTATGATCTTTCTTGCAGTGGTTGTTAAGTGAATCACGCAGTTGTTAAGTGAATCATGCAGTTCCCCATTGATTTTGCTTGCTGGAAGCTGCCTGGAAAGGTCACAAATGGTGATCACATGACCGTGGGGGCGCTGCGATAGTCATAACTTCGGGCACTAGTTATAAGTCACTTTTTAGCGCTGTCATAATTTCAAACGGTCGCTAAATGAACAGTCGTTAAGTGAGGACTGCCTGTATGCGATACTCTTGTTTCCTGATCAAGTCTGCTCTTGCCTGGTATGTTTTAGGCCTAGCCCGTGCTTTGGTTTGTTGCATCTACACAGCAGCCTCATTTGCCAACGCAGCTGTTCCTCACCAGTTGCTTTCACCAGCTTCTCTGTTTGAAACCGTCCAACTGCCTCTTCCTGCTGGAAATGCTTCTTTTTGTCACCTGGTTTCATTTTCCTCCAACCAGAGACCTATTTTTAAAACTGCCTCTCAGCAGAAATGTCGCTTCATCACTGCAGTGCCCAAAATAACATGTTTGTGTAAATGCTGTTAAGTGGCAGGAACTTATAACGAGGGCATCATCTTATTTCCGGCAGTGGGGGCCTTCTGCAAAGTGGCATGTCAGGGTGGGGAGAGAACAGCCAGGTGCCAATGGGAATATGGATTTCCCCTTTTGCAGAAAGACCAGGATTGGTGCTGTTAAATTAGTCGGGCTCAATCTGATGCTTTCCAGACTACAGGCTCCAGAATCCCCTGCCAGCATGGGCAGTGGGCATGTTGCTTGCACTGGCCAGAGAAACTAGGAGCAGAAATAACAGGTATGACTTGCAGCTCCCTAGATTTCATTGAAATGCAAGGAAAAACATCTGACAGTAAGATCCGTACAGCAGTGGAATGATCTTCCTACAGCAGTTGTGGGTTCTCCATCTCTGGAGGCTTTGAAGAAGAAGCTGGAGAGTCACCTCTCAAAGATGGTTGAGTTGCTTCTCCTCTACATTGCAGAAGGTTGGATTAGATCAGTGTTTCTCGACCTTGGCGACTTGAAGATGTGTGGACTTGAACTCCCAGAATTCCCCAGCCAGCAAGGCT